TTGAAACATATACTATACAAGGTCTGTTAAGCCCACTGGGGCTTATGGAATTTCAGGCCTTATTGATGGGGAGTTTATTTGAAGGGGAGTAATACAGAGGGGAGAAGCATGGAGGAGGGGAAGGGTGGGCACTTCAATTGTAATCTAAAAACTAGCAATCCATCTTAAAATATATCTTCTTTTGCTAAGAGAAAATTTAAACATAACAGATTGATTCCTTCTCCCAGTGCCTTTATAGAACTACACCAACTGAGGATTTAGTTGGTCCCCTTTTATAGTAAATAGACGGGAGAATAACACAGAGTTTGGCTTATTTGCACCGTCAGACTTACCGATACTCCCAAAGTTGTCATCCACCACCCAAAGAGTGAACGGTGAGTTTGTACACAACTCCCATTCTTTGACAAACGTCGATCTTGCAAGATTGGTAAACGTAGCCGGACTTGCTGGATAAACGTAAATCGAAAATTTCCGATAAATGAGATGCAACATCTACATCGCTTGCCATTGCCCAAATATACTCCACTAAAGATACTAACTAAAGATATCAGATTATTCTTTTCTGGGGAATTTGAAAAAGAGCGCGAAACATTTTTCAATATCAGAACCGGAAACCGATTTTGGAAGGGCACAAGGGCGGTTTGAGCTATGGAAACAAAGCAAATCCGTCGTGCAGCCACTCGTTTCCATAGCTGAAACCGCCCTTGAGGTTTCATTTCTCTGATTTCTTTTTTTATCGGCGAAAATAAACCTTAAGCGACAGAACTATGCTGGATGTGATGTTTACTAAGCCAGATGTTTTCTCTTGACTCAAAACACACACGTCAGGAGACCTAAAATTTGTGCACAGCAAGAACTGTGAACGTTCGGAGTCGCAAATCGTCCGTAGTTCAGCTCTAATTATATTCCAGTGATTTAATTTCATTCCCAGGTACCTCACGTCCAAGGGCACTTTGAGATATAGAAACAAGTCTTTACCAAGGAAAATATTGAGACCTTGCTTGCCCAAACTACGCCTGCTCTGCAGGCCATATGGCAACCTTTTTTTCAGCATACTGGGCTTTGAAGTCCATAGCAAAACTATATCAACATATGTAGACATCGTGACGGAACATGAATAGAATTGTGCACTAATCAGGTTGGTAGATACGAAAGCCGAGAGGGGACTTCACACTTCACACTTCACACTTCACACTTCACACTTCAGACTTAGTAAAGGTGACTGGAGAATTGAAGATTTAAGCCTTCACAGTTCACGAAATTAGACTTCAGACTTCAGAATTCTGTCCTCAGTCTTCCAAACGTGAATTAAACATTTGGAATCTGTCAGTGTGCGTCATCATGTTTAGGTAAGTGAGTGCCCCTGATCCTTACTTGTTTTAATCATTCTATTTAAGACGCGAGTGAATGGTACTTTAATTAACGTTTACTATGTTCTGAAACAGGTTGCTTCATCTTCATCTTATCTTCCTTCTAAACACGCTATGTCTAGTGCAGAGCGTTTTACCTGTCTACACACCTGCTCTAAACAAACACTTTGGCTTTGAGAGAGAAAATGCAGTCAGACGCTACTTCTCTCAAGGATTTCAGTACCAACGCTGAAATTACTGCCTTTTTAGCTTTACAACATGGCATAGTACTCTCAGTGCGTACTTTACACGAATTTTACAACGTTTGGGACTTAAAAGGGCGAGATACAACAACGAATCGCCCCTTGAGCGAATAGTGGCTGCTATTCTGGAAGAATTGGAGAACTCGTGTGGTTCCTTTCTGGGCTATCGTCAACTGACGAGGCGCTTAAGGCGAAAGTACAATTTGCAAGAAGAGATACTGTTATGAAATCCCTTCGGGTTTTAGACCCTGAAGGAGTGGAGCGTCGTCAAAGACGTAGGCTAAAGAGACGAAGATATGTCACCCCAGGGCCAAACTTCTTATGGCATGTTGACGGATGGGATAAGCTTGCGCCCTTTGGCTTTTTCTTTCATAGCGCAGTAGACGGCTTCTCAAGGCGAATTCTTTGGTTAGAAGTCGGTTCCACGAACAAAAATCTCAGGGTTATTGCCTCAAACTACCTAAATGCTCTTCTACAACTTGGAGGGGTTCCGAGAAGGATGCGCTGTGACAGGGGAACCGAAAACACAATCATTGGCACTCTTCAACAATTTTTTCGTTGGCATGACGATGACCATTTTTCTGGAAGTGGAAGTTTCATCGAAGGAAAAAGCACCGGAAATCAACGCATAGAAGCTTGGTGGTCTACATTTCGAGAGGGTGGAGGAGGATGGTGGATAAACTTTTTTAAAGACCTCCATGATTGTGGTTTGTACCATGACGATTACCTCGTCACGGAATGTCTCAGATTTTTTCTCTTTCCTATCCTTCACCACGATTTATATCTCGTAGAAGAGTTGTGGAACACGCATAACATTCAGCGACAACAACGACTGGAAGAGGAGAGTGGAAAACCAGACGTCATGTTTTTTACACCCGAAATCTATGGAACACACCACTACTTGGTAAATGTCAACATCGACGATGTAAATATGTGCAAAGACAGGTATGTTGAGAATTGTGTCGACCATAACGAGGATATAGAAGAGTTAGTGAGATTGATCAAACTAGATTATTCTCCACCTTTAAATGAACGCGAGGCTCTTAAACTATACTCTGAGATTATCCAATTCCTTAAACTGGATCACTTAATCTGACAGTTGCGGTTTTCTTTCACCAAATTTTATCAGCTTTCGAACCTCGTCTTGAGGTGACTCGTGTAGGAAAAGCAGAGAACAAGTTAAGATAAAGCAATAGTTTTATTATTAATATTATGTTATCTGTATGTAGCATTTTCATGCCCTGTAACCAAGACATTTCAACTACTTTTTATTTAAGATAACGTTAAGAATAAGTTGTCGTAACTAGAACTAATGAAAGCTTTCCACTGTAACGGAATATAACGTTGTTAGTGTTACTTACGATAATGCAAATGTTGAATGGTCAGTTACGGAGTCTATGGATATTGTAAGTAAAAATCTCAACAATAGCATAACGAAAATTATGGATCGACAACCGCCTAGTTGTTTTTTTTTTCGACTAGAGCCTCTAAAATTCTCATGTAAATGGCAACCATCCTGTATCTCTACTCCCAATTGCAAGTGACTGAAACACAACATAAATCAACAAAAGCTCATCCTCTGTGATTCGGAGTCTTTTTTCTTAGTTTTCGAACATGTCTCAGTTTTGTTACGAGATTTATGGCTTCTATCACAATTACAAGCTAGTTTGTAGATCATACAATACTTAAGCAGAACCTGAAATGTAAGCTATTTTGACTTTTCCTTCTTTTGACCTCTGTAGGGCTGGTTAAGATTGCTGAATAAGGATCACTCCATAAGGCTCTTCTACACCCTATCTTAATTCTCTTTATGTGCTTGAGTGGTCACAGTTGAAGCTTACAATTGCATGGATTCCAAACTCGTCAAAACATGTTGTCTAACTATGCCTTCTTCAAGGCTGGCAAAACGAGGAGAAGAGGAAGGGCGGGGAACTCCCGAGAAATGAAATTAAACCAAATCAATCAACATCTTGACTGATCTCGACGCCATTTTAAGTAACTTATGCGACAGTCGATGAAATAACACCTCAGTAGACTTTCCTAATACTCCTCCTTTCTCAATTAAGCATATCAGCTGTACTTGTGTCCTTTAACAAAAATCGAAAGAAACATTAACATTGAAATAGTGAAAAATTAACAAAACTTGGAGGACTGGGGCCCAGGGAGCGAAGTCTGAAGTCTGAAGTTTGACGTCTGAAGTCTGAAGTCTGAAGTCCGATGTCTGAAGTCTGAAGTCTGAAGTCTGAAGTCTGAAGTCTGAAGTCTGAAGTCTGAAGTCTGAAGTATGAAGTCTGAAATCTGAAGTCTGAAATCTGAAATCTGAAGTCTGAAGTCTGAAGTCTTAAGTCTGAAGTCTGAAGTCTGAAGTACGAAGTCCCTTCTCGGCTTTGGTAGGTAGAACATCAAAGAACTTCTTGGAATCTATCCGGTAGGAATCTCAGAGAAGGTCAAAGAGAGGAATAAGTTCGATGTGTCGCCTGAATACGAAGTGATATGAGCGACTGCGTACGTGAAACTGTCTCAAACCGCTGTACAACTAGTCTTTCCACTGCTCGGCGACAGGGCTGAATAATGCACCTATAAATGTCTTGCCCCAACCGGGGGAGTGCGGGCATGTACGGGCTATTGAAAAAAAATTCGTCCCGAGAGAGGGGATGTGTTTACTTATTTGACATAGGGGTTCCCCAAGGGTCGGGTTTTATTGATACTTGACCGGGATAGACTGGGTCGGAAACCTTTCAAGATGGCGGACAAGACGAAAAATGCAGCCTAAAACGTGGTTAAAAAGGTAAGAAATTAAACCTTAGCTGTCATTCTAGTTCTTAGTAAGGGTTTTAATGAGACCTATAAAAAGGTATTTTCTTTAGATAAAAAGCGTAGTGAGAGCGTATCATTATTTTTCACAACTTTTTCAGCTTCGATGGGGCATTGACATGTACACACACCACCACGGTGGGAATTATTGATAAAAATTTTTGAAAATTGTCAATAGCCCCTAGGTATGGCCGCACTCTCCCAGTTGGGTCAAGACATTAATTGATAGGTGCATAATGAAATGCCACGTCAGAGGGTAGGCGGTCATCAACGCGGGCTCAGGTGTTGTAGGTTTAAAATTAAGCGAAATCAGCGGAAAATAATGAGGGTTGACATTTAAAACCGAGGAACTTTGTTTTCGTCAAAGGCATTTTCCTATTTCCAGAAGTTTTAAGGAGAAAATAAATTTTCGAAAATATTTAGGGGGCGTACCAAGTTATTGGAGGTTGTACTGAAAAAGAAAAGTGGCAAGGAAAACAAAACCTCGAAGCAACCCTGCAAACTAACCTGTACCGCGGCAAAACCTAACGCATGCGCATGCGTTATTCAGCTTCTTTGATTGTGAATTAAAGTATTTAGTGGAGTGAAACTTATTGAAAGCAGAGCAATACTAACGATGGCCTGTTTAAGCGAGTCCACTACGGCAAGCAGCGAAGAGGAGAAGAAAGAACAGAGGCTTATTGATGTCATGTTCCTCTGTGACGAGTGGAAATCTTCGAAGGGTGGATTATCAACTTTCAATCGAGAATTTGCTATTAACTTGGCAGAAACGACAACTGGTAGCCTGAAAATTCACTGCTACGTTTCGCAAAGCGATGATCGAGACAGAGAGGATGCCAAACAACATGGTGTGAATTTAATTAACGCTGAGACTGTTCCCGGATCGCGTGATCCCTTGGATTGGTTAAAGATTCCACATCCCACGCTTCAGCATCCACAGGTTGTCATTGGTCACGGCAGAAAACTTGGAACTCCTGCGTGCCACTTTGTACGAACTACAAGATGTAAATGGATTCAATTCGTCCACGTCTTCTGTGAGGACCTTGGGAAATACAAGAAAACAACTTCGGCTGCAACAGATACGATGGAAGAGAACGAGGAGAAGCACAAGATGGAGATTGAGTTGTGTAAAGCAGCGGATGCAGTTGTCGCCGTTGGCTCCCGTCTACAACAGAAGTACAGCAGAAGTCTCCTTAATGTTAAGGTGGAGATTATTACTCCTGGGATCTTTGAAAAGTTTTCCAGTGAATCAAAGTTGGCTGTAAATAGATCAGTAGTTAAGAAATTTAACTTGTTTATGTTTGGCCGAGCTACCTTTGAGGATCTTTCCCTCAAAGGATACGATATTGTTGCAAATGCCATAGGTTCTCTTGGTAAGAACTTTGAGCTGACATTTGTTGGCTCACCTCCTGGTGAACATCAAAACGTTGAGCAATGGTTTCTTAACAACACTCGCATCAACCGCAACCAACTAACCATCCGTGGATACTGCAGTGAACAAGAGGAACTTAAAATGATGTTCTATCAGTCAGACTTGGTTGCTCTGCCATCCCGTACCGAGGGGTTCGGGTTAGTGCCACTCGAGGCCATTTCTGCTGGCGTTCCTATACTTGTTTCTGGTGAATCTGGTATAGCTGAGGCTTTGCAAGAAGTAGAAGGTGGAAAGGCTGTCATTGTTGAATCAGATGAAGATGCAGATGAATGGGCACAAAGGATTAGAGAGATCTTTGAGGAAAGCGTAGAAGAGAGAGAAGCCAATGCCATGAAGCTTCGTGAGAACTACAGGAAGGCTTTTTCTTGGAGAACAGAATGTGAGAGATTTAAAGCAATGATTGAGAGACTAATGCAAAAGGAACATGGTAGGTTCAGTGCTTGTATCTTTCCCTACAAATCTCAGTGCATGTGATGCTATTTTATAATAGTGTAAATATAGGAGTTTCCTGCAAAAACCGTTTTACTTCTACAGATAAATTGTGCAGGTCTCATGAGTTATTAGTGTAAATATCTTGATATGGATCAGTCAGCAGCTCTATTTCTCCTTTAGTCATTACACTTTTTTTTTTTGCACTTTCTTCCATCCTTGTAGATATGAACCATTCTTTATGGGTGCAACTGAGCTACGTACAAGTTTTTATTTCCTTTTAATTTCCCAAGGCTAAAGATTCTTGCTAAAATCATCTAGTGCTCAATGGAGGGGTTTCAATGGGACTCAGGAGGCCTTAGGGAGGTTTGAAGGGGCATTGCCATGCATGATTTTGTCTCAGTTTTTCATAAAACTGACCTATTAACATGATGAGTCTTTACAGTGTGTGTTACTGTCACACTTAACTCGTTCGTGTCTGAAGCTTTTTTGTTCATTGGCGATGTTCACTTGGCTTTATTTGCCTTGAGATCCATATAACATTTGTTGCAAATAAAAATAATTGCTTTTTAATAAAGATCTTGTGATGTTTGGATATACGGCAATAAAAACCTTCGATGTTCTTTGATTTCAATACCTTATTACACGACTCGGGCAGTCAGAGGGCCAATAACTAAAATCAACCAATCAAAATGCTCTATTGCCGGTCCAATATTCCCTAAGTATTGGACCGGGCACTGTCCCGAATGGTCCCGAATGATACCGCACTTGTGTCCCTTTGAACTTCAGTCGTATAATAAATCTCTTATTAACCAAGCTTGCTCGGGACCGTACTGGAAGAATATCGGCCCTCGGTCTTTTTTGTACGGACCTCGCTGCGCTCGGTCCGTACTGTCAAGACCTCGGGCCGATATTCTCCCAGTACGGCCCTCGCGCTTGGTTAATAAGATATATGTATTTGAACGCGATGATCTTTGTTTACAAGGTTTTCTCCCGCTCACATCCGATAACAAACTTCTAAAGTTTTTTTGCCTCTGAACGATATACCACCAAAGCCATGCTATGGACCGCAAGTTTTTTTACTTATGGAAATTAAAGATATGTGGCAGTAACTTCCAAAAGCCTTTTTTGTCAGGAAAGTGTGGTTGTTTTGTTCGCCAAAAGTTCATTCGGAAGATAAGTGTAAACTGTGAAAAGCCTGGTTATCGCTTATTTGCGGCACAGCACTTCAAGCCTGAAACAGTCGATGCCAAAATTCAACCTCGTTCCTAGGCTAAGTCCACCACATCACTGAACGCCAATTAAAAACTGCCTTGTGGC